ATGCCACATTCCTTTATCATTAACTCTTTGGCTTTTATATACATTTTTCCCCCCAAATCATACAATCTATAACTACTGTTTCCATTCTCATCACAGGATAGGACTGTCTTCTTAGTGAGGACCTGTGTTTAAGAGGGAAGGTGGTGAGGCTGGAGAGATGGCTCAGTGGTTAAGAGCACTGATTGCTCTTGCAGAGGACCCAGGTTCAGTTCCCAGCACTCACATGGTGGCTAGTAACTGTCCCTAACTCCAGTTCCAGGGGATCCAATGCCCTCTTCTGATCTCCATGGGCACTGCATGACATGGGTGTACTTACATACACGCAGGCAATACACTCATACACCTGAAATTTAAAAAAATAAAATATTAAAAAGAACTGTGATTTTTTTTCTTTCTTTCTTTTTTTTTTTTTTTTTTTGGTTTTTTTGAAAAAGGGGCCCCCTGTAGACCCAGCTGGCCTGGAACTCACTATGCAGACCAGGCTAGCCTTGAACTCAAGAGATTGGCCTGCCTCTGCCTCCTGAGTGGTGGGACTAAAGGCGTGTACCACCACGCCCAGCAGAACTGTGATATCTTTAGTAAACAGAATTTCCCACAGGAAAATGTGCTCTGAGTTGAAGATAACTTTCTTTCTTTTGGGAGAGGGGTGAGTTTATATTAATGAATACTCTGTGAAATGCCATTATGTGGTTCATGCATCCTCACACACTTGAGGTACTCACAATGGACCAAGCACTAACCTTAAGGATCTACTTGAGTTCTGAGTGATAAAATGAACTGAGCCAGGCATGGTGGTGCATGCCTGTAATCCCAGGATGTTGGAGGCTGGGGCAGAAGGAGGAGCAGGAATTTAAAGCCAATCTGGTCTATACTTTTTTTTTGTTAAAAAAAAAAAAAAAAAAAAAAAAAAAAAAAAGAAAAGAAAAGAGAGAGGACTCAGAATAATCTTTCAAAACCTGAGGGCCCCAGGACACATGACACCATAGTAATTTTCTGCCTTTGTAATTTACAGGCTCAGGTCCTCTCTTGGTTTTATCATTATGCACTTTTGGTTTTGGCCAGAGAATATGCTTTTTCTCTATGGCATAGTGTCCTCTTTCAAGGGGAAATTTTTTTTGCTCACTTTTTAGTTATCAATCATTACAAATACTTGCTTTCTGGTACCAGTGATATCCAAGGAATATCTAAAACAAAAGCTTATAGGGAAGCTGACTGGGTAACAAAATTAAGAAATACAACTGTCCTCTTTAGGGAAATCAATTCACTGAAAGTAATCAGTTCTTTTGGTTAGTATAAGATCCATACAAATGACTCTCACTCAATGACAGTGAAAATCATTTTAACGCTTCTGAACATACTAGGTTCAAGAATTTTAGAGTAAACCAGCTCCTACTTGTTGCCTATTAAGTAGTCTACTTGAAAAATGAAATAATTTTCACTTGGGGCATCTAAGAAAAATAATAGTTTGTAATTAAATCATCTCTATTTTAATATCAGAAGCAATTAAGACTAATCAATTTATATTCTGAAATGTTATATATAAGCAATAATAAATGGCGGAAGTTTTACAAGATGAAATGTAGTAAAAAGAGCAGTAGCTCTAGCATTTCTAACAGAAACAGTTAACACTAAACAGTCTAATGGTGCTGGTTTCAGGGAATAAGAGATAACTGATAAAATGACTTTTCTTAGAAATCAGTAGCTAATTCTTCCATTTGAATTTTTCAACACTGGAAATCTAAGTTTGTGGTTGAGTACAGAAAAAGGCAATTAATTTTAAATAACAAAGCATCAACTCAGAATTCTGAAGTTATGGTCTCAGTACCAGGGTTGTGTAGAATATTCATCTTTTTTCAACTGTCCAATAAAAAAAAAATACACCAAGAAAAGTGTTAGAATTATAGACTAAAATTAAGATGCTAAGAGCCATCCTTATTTGTTTTCTTTAGTAATAATGCTCCCTGCCTCTCAAATGAATTCAAGATTCTTCTGGCCCACCATTCACCAAATCTACTTTACTTTAAAATGTTTTCTACCAGACTTTGGTTTAATTGCTTTCTTACTGACAAATAAAACAATATGAGCACACCCTGAGATTCTGGAGCAAGGTCAATCTTCTTTCAAAAGGTAGTCTTCCTAGTAGACAGTTCCCAATTTGCCAGTATGTTCTGACAGCAAATGTCTGACATCACGAAAAACCAGGTAACTGTACCATTAAACAATATATAACCATTTTTATTGCTCTAATCATAAAACGAAGATGTTATCAACCAATTATGTGGTATGTAAACACAAGACTGGATTTATGAAGGTTTCAAAGGCATAAAATATCCAAACAGGCTACTCACAACTCTTACCCAGCAGCCCTTCATCTAAGGTACTACTTTCTCCATCAGCCAGGACTATGGCTTCTTGGAGGAATTCCCTATATATTAGTTAACAGACTTGAGAGACTTGAACCTTGTTCACTTTAATAGCCTTACTCAATAAGCTGCTAAGATAGTACAGCCCTTCTAGAATTTATACTCTTAACCATACAGTATTTTTATTTGGCAGAATTTCAAATTGGTTGTTTCTATTATATCCTTTTTAAAATTTATTTTTACGTAAGTGCTCTGCCTGCATGTAAGTGTACCCATATTGTGCAAAGCCCAAGGAAGACAGAAGAGGGTGTGGGATCCCCCTGGAACTGAAGTTACATACAGTTGTTAGCCACCATGTGGGTGCTGGGAACCAAACCCAGGTCTGATGTAAGAGCAGCCAGTGCTCTTAACCATGGAGCCAGCTCCTAGCCCCCCTCTATTATACTTTTTAAAACTTCTGTGCATGCAGGTACACATGCATGGGTAGGAGCATGTGTATTTATATGAGTATGCTGTGTGAGTGGATGCTGGAGAACTACCTTGGATGTCATCCTTAGGAACTTCCTTTCAGACACGGTCTCTCATTGGCCTGGAGTTCAATTATTAGGCTGTCTCTACCTACATAGTACCTGGAGTTCACTAATTAGGCTGTCTCTACCTACATAGTACAAGATTATAAACATACACAGCCATATGGAACATTCTTATGTGGGGGTCTAAGGATGGAACTTAGGTCCTAGTGCTTAAGCATTTTATTGAATAAGCCATTCCCCAGCTCCTGTCCATTTTATCTGTAGAAGGGAAAGTCTAAAGTCAGTTTTTATCAATTTGAGGGCATAGTTAATGGTTTACTAAGATGGACAGAAACTCAAACAAGAACGCAAGACTGATGATAAGGTTAGGTGGGCTTCCAAAGGACACACAACTTTATGTTCCATAATAATTTTTATCAGAGTATTCACAACTGCAAAAATGGTCTCTTGTGTACAGAACTGCATCTATATCTTCCTACCCTAATTAACCCAATGGGCTTATGATGATGATGATGAATGATCACAGAGGCACAATGCTTATGGAAATCATAGCTCCCTATGGATAGTGTGGCTACCCATTACTGGCTAGTGCTAATAAAACACTATCAGCAATAGTGTCCAATCCTAAATCCTTAATTAGGTACCAATAATTTAAGAGAACCAATTACCCAATATAGGCTAACCACATTGGGAAGAGACAGGTGAAGCCATGCTTTGTCTTCATGGGAACTGACACTTAATATGAATTTGTATTAGTCTTCTGCTTTGACATCCCCATATGTTTTTATAAATGTCTGTATAGCAAAATTTCCTCCAAGGACCTATTTCACATAAAAAAAGTACCAGGCAAGTATCCTAACTTCTTTGTCAACCAGATGCTTTAGTCTCAAGTATAAACCATGAATCAAAAATAGGGCATACAAGCTGATGAGAGACTATTATATGCATAGATTCAGCAAGTGTTATGGATACCACCTAGAAAGTCTGGGGTGTTATCTTCTAGGACTGTGATATTTGCCTTACCCCAGCAATCTATGCAATATCAGAAAAATATGGTATTACTTTTTCCAAACACAAACACAAAGGAACAAGAGGGAGAAATGAGTAGACTGTTTCAAGATAGATAAAAAATTGTATCCCTAGATCATACTCTGCTCATACAACTGGCATTAATACATAGTGGAAAGTAGACTAAAAGCAGTAACTGTTTCTAGAAAGTTGGATTAAACGTATCTTGGGGCTAGAGAGATGGCTCAGCAACGAGAGCCCTGGCTGTGTTTGCAGATGACCTGGGTTCAATTTCTAGCATCCAAATGGTGGCTAACAACTGTATCTCTAGTCCAAGGGATTTGACATCCTCTTCTGGCCTCCTCAGGCACTGCATGCATGGATACACTTAACATACATGCAAGCAAAACACTCATACACATAAAATTAAAAAAAAAACTTAGCAAAAATATATAATTATCTTGATTAAACGTAATTTTTTGTTCTATAAGCCGATTTTTTTTTGGTCTTTTTGAGACAGGGTCTCTCTGTAGCCCCAGTTGTCCTGGAACTCACTTTGTAGACCAGGCTGGCCTTGAACTTACAGAGATCAGCCTGCCTCTGCCTCCGCCTCCCGAGTGCTGGGATTAAAGGCATGTGCCACCACCCCCGACTAAAAAAAAAAAACAAACTTTTAAGAAATGTAATATTTTTGTTTTTTTGTGACTTTACATTTTCCAAATTATCTATATATATAATAAATGATAAAGAAAACATAAGTAATCCCAAGAAACAGATTTTCATTGAAAATAGCACCTAATGAAAAGAAGGAATTAGAATGAATGCAAGGACTTGCTAACCCAGTTAGGAGAACTGGCTTACTGTTTCTTTTGTAGTGGTTACTTTTTTACAGCACTCTAGAGCAGTAATGGGGAAATCTGAAATTTAATTCTCCATTTTCTTCCCTGTAAAACAAACTTTAGGTATCTCATAAGGTATGAGAAAGAACAGCAAAAACTAACACCACTGAGGGAATGAATTACTACTTACTACACAGGATATGTGTCTATATGTGTTCAGTTCTTTAAAAAAACAAAATGAAACTAAAATTAGTTACCTTTGGGTTAAAATATCTACAAGACTGTGGCTGGGAGCCTCCAAACAGGGCGATGCGGTAATCATGTTTCTTTCTTCTAGGCCTTGTGCCACCTGCAAGCTCTTCTCGATCCTCTGGAGATAGCAGGTGGTATCTCATTCCACCTGTACAAAAGTAAGTAGGAAGTCTTCAAGAACTTCAGGTACTAACACAATGCTTTGAAAAGGGAAAGACTCATACATAATAGTGCATTTTTTTCCTCCTGTAACTTAAAAATCTTTTTAAATCATCTTCCTATAGTGTTCAAAAGAGTGAGGGGAAAGATAGAGGAGAAATACTGTATAAAGACCTTCAACCTAATCAATTCATTATTCTAAGACTGCATCACCCACTTACTACATATCAATGACTCCTCAAGACTAATTGCCAAAATAATAATCAGTGAAATCCAGATCTCTTAATCTACTGATTCTCGACCTCCACGCCTCCCAGGTGCTGGGATTACAAGTGTGTGCCACTACTACCAGTTCTCAGTTTTTGCTAGCTATTTATTTATAATTTATCTGAGATAGGGCTTCCCTGTAGCCCCCACTAGTCTGGAACCTGCTACACAGACCAGGCTAGCCTTGATCTCACAGAAATCTGCCTGCCTCTGCCTCCTGACTGCTGGGAATAAAGGTGTGCGTTCCCATGCCTAGCTCCAGTGCTCACTTTAACTGTATATTACAATCACCTGAGAAATCTCTGCACTTGACTGTAGGTTCTCCTACATACCAATTAAAATCTCTAGTGGAGGCAGCAGGCCATTGGTTTGTTAAAGGGCTCCTTTTTACTCATCATTTAAATGTGATTCAAATAGTAGTGGCTTCAGAATTTGGGAGTTTGTTAGAATCCTACTGCCCAAGACCTATACCAAATCATATATGTACATAGCAAAATCCCAAGGTAACTCAGATGTACCTAAAATTTTGAGAAGGACTATCTTAGATGACTTTCAGATGCAATAAGGATTCAGAACTATTATCTACCTGGCACCTTTTCCTTTAGCACTTCCTTAATTGGTAAAGAGCCACTTAATCAAAAAGTTAACTTTAAATCAATATGGAGAAAATGGATTGTCTATCAACGTTAAGACAATGTAAGAAAAAAAACTGTACTCCTATCTAGTCTGTACCCCTATTTTAGTCTCAATACAAACTGGAATATATACGTATTTTTAAAAAATCTCATAAATGCACTAAAAAACCAGGTTTTTAAAAAAGGACTAGAATGGGGAAGCTTAAAAATAGGAGTCACAAAAAATGTTCAACCAACTGTGTGACTCTGTCCCCCCTAAAAGAAATCAAAATATAGTGACAAACTAGGAAAATATTTATAACAGAAAATAAAACCACAAAGATACCCTAGTAATAAGGGTAAGTCCAGCAACTTGACAAAAAATTAGATGAAGTACCTGTCCTAGTTTGTTTCTTCATTGCTGTGACAAAATACTCTGACCAATACCAACTTGGGAAGGAAAGAGTTTATTTATCTTACATCTCCCAGGTCATAGGGAGCCCAAGGCAGGAACTCAGGGCAGGAACCTGGAGGCAGGAGCTGTAGCACAGGCCCATGCTCAACCTGCTTTCTTAAACAACATCGGCCCACCTGCCCAGGGGTGGCACCACCCACAGTGGGCTGGGCCCTCCCACATTACTCAACAATCAAGAAAATTCCCCACAGACATAGCCACAGGCTGGTTCAATGGAAGCAATTCCCCAATTGAGGCTCCCTCAACCCAGTGTCAAGCTGACACTAAAGCCATCCAGCACAGTACCTGTACACAGTTCATAGGAATACGATTATCAAGCATATAAAAACATGCTTGACTACTCTATTTAAGAGAAATACAACTTAAAGCCATACTTTTCACTTTTCGGACTGGATATAGTCAAACTGTTTTGAGCATAGGGTTGTAAGAGTCCCCAAACTGAGAAGCTTGCTCCCATGCAGTCTGATATACTTGTTTTAATAACTCTTACTTGATTCACACGTAAAGTCACACATTTAAGAAAAGCTTCTAAAAATAAAAATAGGAAAACAATACTCAAAGATAAAACAGAAAATACAGGCAACATAGAAAATTCAACGGCACTAAAATGACTACTTCAGAGCAATAAGGGTATTCCAGTCATCAAATAAGAAATTAATAAATAAGCAGAAACTCAAAAAACAGCTGAAATAAAAGATTTAAAAGAAAAAAATCAAGATTAAAAGATTAATTCTTAGAAGAGGACCAAGACAGTGATAGAACTAGGAGAGAGGAAGATCAGATGGCTAACCAATGGCTGAAGAGCCACAGTATTAGTAATTAACTGAGAAATCTGTATAAAACTGAAGATCTCTGGCTAAGGAGAGAAAATGCTCAACTTGATTTTTAAAAAAAACATGTACACATAATACTATAAACTTTCAAAATATTGGGATTAAATTAAAAAATTAAATATTTATATGAGGATAAAAAAGTAGAATCCGATTGACACTAGCATTCTTAAAGCTTACCATTAGTAGCCTGAAGGTGATGGAGCAAACCTTCTAATGTCCAACTGAAAAATTGTTTTCAACATTTTTTTTTTTTTTTTTGGTCTTTTTGAGACAGGGTCTCCCCTGTAGTCCCAGCTGTCCTGGAACTCACTATGTAGACCAGGCTGGCCTTGAACTCACAGAGAACCGAGATCTGCCTGCCTCTGCCTCCCGAGTGCTGGGATTAAAGGTGTGCGCCACCACGCCCGGCTCAACATAATTTTATATCCAGTTTAATTAGCCTTCAATGTTTTATAGTGAAATGAACATTATTTACCAACCATATGCTCTGTATCAGGAACCTTTTAGAAGATGTGTCTCATCAAATAGAATTTAAAAAGGGGGAGCAAAATACGGTAGAGCACATCTGTAATCTCAGCACACAGGAAACTAAGGCAGGAGTTTCAGGCCAGCCAGGGCTTCATAGAGAAAGTTTCTCTCAAAACACACACACACACACACACACACACACACACACACACACACACACACACACGAACAAAGGGGGAAACCTAGGATCCCTAAAAGAATAGACTGAATACAGAAGAAAAGGGCTTCCCAGGACAACTGCACATCAGGCATGAAAATAAAAAAATTGGCAATTATTAGTTCCAGACAAAAAAAATCTGTTTAAGAAAAAAAAAATGTGCTGGACTTGGTGGTGCACATCTTTAGTCCCAGCACTCGGGAGGCAGAGGCAGGCAGATCTCTGTGACCTCAAGGCCAGCCTAATCTCCATAGTGAACCCAGGCAGCTGAGAGACACCCTGTCTCAAGAAGACCAAAAAGAAAAAAAAAAAACCAAACTAAGATACTATTTAGTTAATAAAACAGCAAATTCTACAAAGAGCATGGAAGCTATTGTGTACAAAAGCAGAAAAAGTCCAAGTAATCTTTACCTCCTGACACTTAAGTTCCTATAAAATAAGGGCTGAGGCTAATCCTTTCCAGGGAACTGAGAACCCAAGGGATTAAACTGTCCAGGAAGACAAAAGTACTGAAGTTTTTCCCTGGCTAATGAGTCTGATCCATTTGAATGGGATTTTAGTCCATGAGAAATGGTCACATGATCAAGATATAAATGGATAAAACAACTTACTTATCACCATCTTAAGGCATTCAGGATTGTCTTGAATAAGTGGTTCAGCTTGAACTGTTTTACTTAAGAAATTCTTTGATATAAGAGGAAATCTGACTTTAGCCAGGATGTCAACCATGAACGGCTGGCGATTAGGCTCATCATATTTCAACCACCTCACTGCAGCATCATAAACCTAAGAGGGAAAAACAGCATAGTTAAATTCTTAGATGGCAGCAACATTCCAAATACCTATTTTCACTCTCACATTGAAGGAGAACCCTGTAAGGAGACACTTATTCTTAGTATGTTGTCCAAATATTTGTTTTCATAAACACCTGACTATACTCTAAATAGTTTATACACTACTTTAGTAGCCTTATGAACAAAATACCTTCTATAAGCAACTACTAATACATATAATGACATGGAGGTTGCTAAATTGTAATTTTTCTTTTTAAAAAAAAAAGATTTATGTTTCCCCTTAGAGTAGAGAAGAGGGCACGGGATCCCACCTGGAGTTGTGAATCACCTGATGTGAATGCTGGGAACTAAACTCAAGTCCTCTGGAAGATTGGCAAGTACTTTTAACCCCTGAAACCAGCTTTTGAGTCCCCCAATTTTTGATTTAAATAAGCAAAACACAGTTTCTGTCTCAGGAGACACATGATACTGAAATAAGTCTATTGTCCAGTGATAGTTGAAATGTATACTCAGTACCAGAAACGTGTTTCTCAAGAGGGCCTCCATCCCAGGAGATGCAAAGGTTACCTTATGTCAATCTCATATTTCTATACTGTAAACTAACAGATTTATCTGCTTCTAGAAATTTTAAGATACAGAAATTCTATACTTAATACAAAATAACTATTCATTTAATGGCATGGAACAAGTTCAAGTTCATTAATATAATTTATAAATCATTAAATACACTATAAACATTTCATATATACACACTCACCTACTAAACCTGTTTGAGCTAATTAAAAAATTATGGGAATTGAAATTTTAAAAAAGAGCCTCTTTATTTTTGAACATGTTTAGATAACTTCTTGGCTTTTTAGCTAAGATCCTGTGTGTAGAAGAGATTTAGAGAAAAACTGCCAGGAGTACAGAGCTCCTATCTTCTTGGTACCCAGTTACTGTAGATTACCTGTCACCTCAATGAACCAATACTGTTGCATTAACTAATAGCCACACTATTTTTATATTTCTTGAGTTTTTATCTAATAGTCTTTTCAGTCAGACAATCCCATAAAGGATGCCATATTATACTTAAATCATTAAATCACCTAAGGCTTCTTTTAGACTATGGAAGTTTCTTAGATTTCCCTTGTTTCTGATAACCTTAACAGTTTTGAGCTCTGGTCGGGTATTTTTCATCATGTCCCTCAATTTCAGTTTGATGTCATTAAACTATCAATATGTTTGGAGGATATGCCATTTTATTACATTAAGTGTGCATGCAATCGATATGACATCACTGATGACCACCACCAGCCAATATTTGTCAGATTTTCCAGCATAAAGTCACTTTTTCGGATTTATTTTCATTTTATGTTTATGTTTTGACTGCATGTATATAAGTGCACCATGAACATACAGTGCCTGTAGAGGCCATTCAGATTCCTTGGAACTGAAGTTACAGAAGGCTGTGAGCTACCATGTGGGTCCTCTGCAAGAACAGTCAAGTGTTCCTAACTGCTGAGCCTTTCTCTAGCCTCAAGTTACTTTTTCTTTAGTTGCATAGAATTCAGTTAATTCAGATGGTAGAACTGATCTTTTAATCTTCCCTTTTTGAGATAGGGTCACATATTGTGACTAGTCTTAACATCTTGGCTCAAATGGTTCTTCCATTTTAGCTTCCTGGGTAGTTGGAACTTCAGGCATACCACTGTGCCTATCATGAAACTGAGGTTTTTCTTTTTACCTTGTGAGAGCCTCAAAGTTCAACCTGTCAACTTAGAAATTCTAGGTCATGAGCAACACAGAGGAAAAGAACATAGCTTAATGTAAACATTTTTAGAAAATAGCAACTCAAGGCATGTGATCTTATACCAATACACTCATTTCCTATTGCTGCTATCACAGTGACTTAAAATACAGAGAAGTGTGGTTAAAATAAGGATTGGGTAAGACTGCATATTAATGTGCTTCCATACTCTGCTCCCAAATGTCTTTGGCCAATTTATACTTCTAACACTTAAACTGATGGCTCTGGAAAACGCAGTATAAAACAGGTCATACTGGGCTAAAAATCAAAGTGCCACAATATGGCACTTTGGCCTGGAGGCCCCATAGGATAAACAATTTCCATACCTTTTTCAGTTTCTACCATCTGCCTACACTGTGGTCCTCCCTCCACCCTCCAACCAGCAATGGCTGGTCAACTCTTTTGCTTGTTGTAGCTCTTCTCCACATTTAAGGATTCTTATATTATTGGACTCACCTGAATAATCCTCTTATTTTAAGATTCTCATCTTAGTCACACCTTCAAAGTCCCCCATACCACATAAGGTGACATAGGCTTCCAGTATTCTGCTGGGTGTGGTGGCATACACCTTTAACCCCAGCATTTGGGGATACAGAGACAGGCAGATCTCTGTTTGAAGCCAGTGAGTTTCAGGTTAGCTGGGGCTACAGGGACACCCTGCTTCAAAAAACAGAAACACAAACAAAAAGAAAAAAAACCTATCCTCTCCTAATACTAGACTTTTCCTTGTCATATATCCAAACATCAGGTATAAGGAATCTATGAAGAAATTTTTATTACCAAAAAAATGCAACCAGGCAATAGTTACCTGATCCTCTGCTCTCACAGTCAGGGTGTCCTGGCTGAGAAGATGTGTCACTCGTTTGACATCAAGCTGTAGAAATTCATCAGTTTTGTAAACTTCAGTAAAATGCTGATGAATAAAGTCATCTGCTGTTGCTTTCAATTCAGGACAGTCCAGACACTCTGCAAGTACACTTATACCTAAACAGAGAGGAAGAAAACAAAACAAAACAAAATAAAACCAGAAATTGCTTTTAGAAAAAATATATATGTTCTAGTACTTGTGAAGATAATGCTGGAAAATCCCAAGTTCAAGAACAGACTGGGCTATAAAGCAAGACCCTTATCAAAATCAAAATAGTGTGTGTGGGGAAGAGGATGAGAAGGGATAAAGAAGGATTTCAAGAAACTTAAGTGAATTTCATAAACTTGGGTCCTTTTCTGTTCCAATAATCTATTCTTATGCCAATATTAGACTCTCTTATGCCTGACAGTAATAAGACAATATCAATGGATCACCAAACTTTTCTTGGTTGTTTTAATTTATGTTAAGATGTTTAACAAGTAAGTATCACATTCTACTTAAAGATTGTGTGATGATTTTTATGACTATTCCATGAACTTTTGGAGTGCTCTGGGGGACAACTGACTTCTGCTACATGGACTAAGAGGTCCACTTAAAAACTTGCTGACACTGGGCTGGTGAGATGACTCATCAGTAAGGGCATTTGCCACCAAGCCTGATCCCTGAAACCAACATGGTGAAAGGAGGGAGCCAACTCCAAGTTGTTTTCTGACTTCCATAGGCGGGCGCTCTCTCTCTCTCTCTCTCTCACACACACGCATCACATGCATGCACGTACGCACGCATACACACAGGCATGCACGCACAGAGTGTAATTAAAAAAGAACTTGACATTTCAAGTTCATTCCACTGAAAGCTTATTTATGACACCGAAGTTTTGTTACATTCTTCAATATAAATAAACAATTTTTTCATACAAGCTTTGTATATTTCCCATTCAGTTTTTCCCTAGTTTTGTTTTGCCTCCCCTATTTTTTGTTTTGGAAGGAGTTTTTTATGTTCCATGTAAGGAAACAAAACACTGTCCATAAGCCAAATCCAGTCCACATGTTTGTGTGCCACCCTACGGGGCTAGTTGGTATTTTCATTTTTTACTTCTAAAGGTTTTGCGGGGGGGGGGGGGCGGTCTGGGGGGGGGGGGGGGGGGGGGGCAGTCTGAGGGAGGGAGGAGGATGGGTGGGGAAACAAGATCCACAAATGCTCACAGGGCCTAAAACATTTGCCACCTCTTCCTTCACAGAAAGTCTGGCAACCCCTCTTTATAGCTCTTATAGATTATTTTGGTGTGTGAACTTGCAATAGGCTTCCTTTCTAAGATTTAGTGAGTTGTTTTCTCCCTGTTTCAGTTATATGTTGTTTTTAACATACTGAGTTTTGTGAGGTTTTTTTTTGAGACAGTGTCTCACTGTGTAGCCCTACCTGACCTGGAACTGGCTGTGTACATCAAACTGTCTGCCTCTGCCTCCTGAGTGCTGGGATTCAAGGTGCCACCACGTCAGGTCAACATAGAATTTTGATGCTTTCATTTTTCTGCCATAAAGAATCATCACTAATCAGGCTGTCAAGCAACCTGTCAGGCTAGCTGGCATCTCTGGCTCCTCAGCAAAAATGCACTGACTGATGTTATGATATTCTGGATGTTTACAATGAAAAGAATCTATTTCTATCTTCTTACATCAGAGATATGATACTTTACTAAGAAAGATTTTGGTTTAAGATTTTATTATTTCAATTTTTTACTTATTTGTGAATGAGGTCTCACTATGTAGTCCAGGTTGACCTTGAACTCACAATGTTCCTGCCTCAGCCTCTTGAGTGCTAGGGTTACAGGCATGTGCCACCCCAACAAGCTAAGATGTTTTCATTTTTTCAAATATCACGGATACCAAAATTACAAAAGTACCTTTATCATCTGTTGCTATGATTTTAAAATTATTTCTCTTGTTAGTAATTTACGAGACTTCTTGACATTGCAACTTATGAACTTGTTGGTAAATTTTGAGATTTCTTGACACTACAATAATTAAAAGGTAATATTTCTAAATAAAGCTTACCAAGTCACAAAGTATTATTATTAATTAATAAACTTTAAATAGTAGTTTTAAGCTCACAGCAAAGCTGAAGAGGTCTCTTAGCTTTCCTGCCATATACTCACTAACCTCCACTAGCAGTATTTTGCACCAGAGAGGACAAATTCCTTTAAAAAATATATTCATTATGGGATTTGAAATTTTCTGGCATTAAAAAAGGGTTCTGCAAGAACAACCAGTGTTCTTAACCACTGAGCCATCTCTCTAGCCCCCCAGCACCCACATGGCAGCTAACAACTGTCCAGAACTCCAGTTCCAGGGGAACCGATGACCTCTTCTGTCCTCCACTGGCATTGCATGACATGGGTGTACTTACCTACATGCAGGCAATACATGCATACACAAAAATAAAAACAAATATTTTTTTAAAAAAGGGTTCTATGTGAAACTAAAGTTTTATGTACATTTGTATACGCACACACACACACACACACACACACACTCACTCACACCTTCTTTGTTCAAAGTTGGCATTAGGCAATCCTATTCTAGTAGAAAGAATGAGCTGGAAAACTTCTACCTCTTTTACTGATTTAGAATAATTTAAATAAAGTTTGGTTCCCAGCAACCCCACAGTGGCTCACAACTGCCTGCAACTCCAGTTCCAGGAGATTTAACACCCTCTTTTGTCCTCAGAGGGCATCACAAGGCATGTGGTACACACACATGCATGCAGGTACTCACAACAGTAAAATAAATCTTAAAAACAACAATAACTAAAGGAATGTTTTATTTAGCTTTCATTAAAGACTGAATTTTTCTTACCTCATTGAGCAGGATGCGCAAGACTAAGGTGGCCGGGTATGGTGCACACCTATAATCACAACACTCGGGAGGCAGAGGCAGGTGGAGCTCTATAAGATTGAGGCCAGTCTGGTCTACAAAGTATGTTCCAGGTCAGTTGGGGCTATAGGGAGACACTGTCTCAAAAAACAAAAAACAAAAAACAAAAACAAAATCCCAAACCAACCAAAACAAACTCCTACTTTTGTTACATTCTGATCTACTGTGCTCTTATTGCCATGTTTTCTGTACTACCTGTAAGTTAATTTTGAATACTTCCTTAAAACTACATTATAAATTACTCTTCAGTTAAATTTACAAGTGCTGAAAATGCGGTTAGAGGAAACAGGTATCCTGTTTGTAGTCAATTTCTTGTCTTATCCCACTGTATTTAGGGGATAGGGTCTGTGCAACTTCTCTTAGGTACTCTAGGTTTTCTGTTGCTGGTGACCATTATTTGTAAATACTCCAAGGGAATATGAGAACAATTTGTATTATCTGATCACAGTATAAAACATTCTGTAATATCAATCTAAATAAGTGTTATTAAAATACTTTTTAAAAGCCTGACTTTTAAGATGCCTAGGCAATTCTATACATCTATAGTCTCTCTATAAATTCCTTTTTTATAGAAAAGGTCAGCTTATTTTTCTTATCGCTAAGAAATCCAACCAGTATACCTCTCTTGGTGAAGCTTGCACTTTCATGATCCAATCATCTCAAAGATGGAGACCAAATCTTAATACAAAAGCTATTTTGTGAGACACTTCATATTCAAACCACAAGAGGAAAGAAATAGTTAATGGTCTTTTTCTGTAATCTATTTTTTTTTTTATTTATTTATTTATTTATTTATTTAATTTACTTATTTTTTGAGACAGGGTCTCACTCTTTTGCTGTGGCTGGCCTGGAGCTTGCTATGTAGATAAGGCTGGCCTCGAACTCACAGATATCTGCCAGCCTTCAGCTGCCCATGTGCTGGGAGCAAAGGTGTGTGTCAGAACACACTCATAGCTTGTAAATTTCTATGTTTTTTTTTGGTCTTTTTGAGACAGGGTTTCCCAGCAGCCTCAGGTGGCCTGGAGCTTATTATGTAGACCAGGCTGGCCTTGAACTCACAATATCCACCTGTCTCTGCCTCCCAAGTGCTGGGATAAAAGGCATGCACCACCATGCCCGGGTATGTTGGTTTTTTTTTTTTTTTAATTGTGGTAAAAGACACAAAACAAAATTTACCACTTATGACAATACATTTCATGATTACTATCCAGTTCCAGAACATCATCATTATCCTAATCCTAAATTCTCAATCTTTAGCATATATCTGAGGAATACCTTTGTTAATGGGTCAGGCTCCTTTCTCAGTATAACTCAGTCCAAGTTTGTTTTCTTCTGCTATTCTTTGACTTTTCGCTTTCCCTCCATCTATTCCTTCTAGAATGCCTGCTTCACATTAGTGTTCCCTTGTCTTCCTCTAATGTCTCTTCTTTCAATAATGGCTTCCTTTTCTTTGCAGTTTTTTAAAATTATGAGGCAGTTTCCCACTTTATGTTTAATTTTAGGAGTATCCACTTTGTTGTTCAATTTGATAAAATGTCAAAACTAGAAAATCAGAACATCTTTTCTACTTTTTAAGCTCCTTTCCATTTCCTAATTTAAAAACTTACGCGTGCTTTGCCTTACAAGTATATAAGTGCACTTGTGCTGTGCAAAGCCCAAGGAGGCCAGAAGAGGGCATCAGATTCCCTAGAACTGGAGTTAAAGACTGTTAGCCACCAACCATGTGGTGCTGGGAATCAAACCCAGGTCCTCTGGACAAGCAGTCATGCTCTTCCTAATTTTGAATTTGTCTTCAGGATCTATTCGTTTTGTCTGTTTGGTGTGATTTTGGGGTCTCTCAAACTACTAAGTTTCCTTGAACTTCTTAGGATTGTTTTCTCTTGTTGTTTTGAGACCAGGTCTCACCAGATAGCCCTGGCTAGCGTAGAACTTGCTATGTAGATGAAACTGGCCTTGAATTCTCAGCAATTAGTCTGCCTCTGCCTCCTGAGTACTGGTATATAGGTGTGCAACATTATGTCAGACTGCTTTTTGCCCAATTCAATCTGTAGCTATGGGTTGCCTTACCACTTGTAGAAGTCAGATTGTTGGGATATTTGAGACAACAGAGAAACAATGGGTGGTGAAAACTAAGGCAGGAGCTCTCTAGTGGCTGGCAGTGGCACCTATGCTCAGAGCTATCCAGAAAGCAGGCAGTACTCTCCCATCCCCCACTCCCAACAAATTACTGAGGCATTTTAAGTGGCTCAAAGCCACTGTTCTTTTTCTTTCTGGAGACAGGGTTTCAATCTGTGGCCCAGGCTGACCTTGAACTAGTGGTAATCCTCCCACCTCAGAATCATGCCTAATTAAATCACTGTTAGGCTCACGACTGGGCTCCTTTCTAGTTTGCTGGGCTATCCTTCCTCTTAGCTTTATAAACAATGATGTCAGCTCAGTAGCAGAGTGCTTGTCTAGCATGTACAAGGTCCTAGGTTCAATCTCAAGCACCACAAAAAACAAACTAAAAAGAGGCAAAAGCTCGTATGTTCTTTTCAGAATCTTAGAAGCACAAATGCTAAGATGTGCTCAGCACAAACCATAGGTTCTACACTATGCTTTGTACCACCCCTCTCTACTTCCTACCTGTTTTTTAAGACTTTTTTGTTTGTGGTTGAATCATCCCAACAGAAAATTTAAAGTGCCTTAAGGAATTAAGGAAATACATTTAAGTCTTCATCTTCCAAAAATATCTTTTAAAGTAACTATGTTCTATAAATACACTGTGTGAAAATATTTATTTATATAAAGGAAAACAGCTTTAAATCTTAGGGATATAAAGCTTGATGAATGGAGCCCTATATTTATAGTGTATAAATGAAATCTCATTCCAGAGGGAGTTCTTTTTGCAGAGATAAGAGACAGTCTTTTTATTTTCTAATATGGGGATATTTTTACCATTCTGACCCATGGCTAACCTTAGTCTGTTCACCTGCATGGCTCTTGCCTGCACCATCTAATACAGTTCTTTCTCTGGATTCTAGACCAGCCTCATTTTTATCCCTTTTGCCTGGTTTTTATTCTCCCCTGAAATTACCGCTTCCTTTCTGCCTGTTTTCCAAGTTTTTTCCTCCTTAGGCTTAGTATGAGTGTGCTCCCAGGAGTACCAAGTGCCCTGAGGGAGGGAAGCCTAGGAAACATGGGACAGAAGAGGTCCAAGCATCTCCCGGAGCCCTCTGCCCCAGCCTTCACCTTCTAGTCATCGGCACCCCTCATCTTTCCCTTGGGTCAGAAATCTTAGCATTGACTATGCTCCCAGGCCACTCTAGTTTCTTGATTCGACGTCTCTTTTCTCCTTGTTGTCCTGGAACTTCAGCCTTCTCTTCTTTCCTTAAAGCCTTTGAATTACAATATGGGTAGGAAAATGTAATTACAAAGAACTGAGTGCTTGCTCATTGCCACTAAGGATCATCTCATAGTGGAACAAATGCATATAACTTTAGGAAACTCTGACATACTTTCCCCACTTCTTTCATCAAGTATAAACTACTTACTTTAGTAATAGCTCAAAACGAAGATCTATAGCAGTTTATCAATTAGCATCTTAATTTATGATTTAGGGTTTTTATGTTTTCTAGTACAAAACAGAATATTTGATAGTGGAGAGACAGCACTGTATATTAAGCAAGCATTAGATGACTTTAACTTCAATCCCTTCATGTAATGATTATGTGGCTTTAGGCAAGCTATAAACATGACCTCAGTCTTCTCATCTGTGACCAGGTTTAACATATCATAAGCAGCAAGAAAGGAAACATTCATGTTTTTCATATAACACTGCTGCTAACAGATGGCATCTTCATTTGTAATCCTTGATAAATGGACACTCATCATAAAAGCCATACTGTACTTTGGAAATCGGTGGCACAGTGGTTATTGAGCTTGTTGCCCAGGCTAATACGTATCTATAATTTCCTCTTAAATTTTATTACTAAAAAAAATTTCAATAGACAATATTTTCTCAAAAAAACTTTTTTTTGATTTATTTTTATTTTATGGGTATGAATGCTTTGCTTGCTTGTATCTTAAGTGCACCTGTGTTGTGGCAGAGGTAAGAAGAGGGCATCGGATAACTTAGAACTGGAGTTACAAACTGATGTTAATGGTCATGTACCCACAGGTTCCGTTCCGGAAACCGAACCCAGGTCCTCTGTAAGAATAGCCAGGTCTTAACCTCTGAGTCATCTCTCCAGGTCCTAAATGAAGATTCTTATCACCATGGTTTTGTTCTTCATTAAAGTATACAATGAAGATTAAAAAAAAAAAAAAAAAAAAGACCCAGGAATCTTATATTGCTTACCAAGACAATTTGAAGCATCAACTTGCTCTTTCAAAAAATCAACACACATTTTCTTCACAGGTTCAATCTGGTACTGATTTGCTGCATCTAACAAAGACTGAACATTGTTGCTATTCACAGAAATTCTGTAAATAAAGTGAATATTAATTTCATAATTTAATTTTTAAAAATATTTTATTATTTCTATGTGTATGAGTGTATTGCCTGCGTGTAGGTAAGTGCATCTGAGTTGCGCAATATCCCTGGAAGACAGAAGAGGCTGTTGGATCCCCTGGAACTGGAGTTATGGACTGCCATGTGGGTGCTGGGATTTGAATCTGGGTCTTCTGCAAGAACAGCCAGTGTTCTTAACTGCTGAGCCATCTCTCCAGCCCCATAATTTTTTAATGATTTAAACAAAATACTACTATAGAATATATTCTAGTATGGCAAAGGAGTCTTAACTCCTCCATCTTTACAGTTTTTTGTTATGAAGAATCTGGAGAACACCAATTTGTTACAACAATGCTTTGCTGTGGTAGAGTCCCAACATTACTCCTCTAAACAGAATGATTCTTAACTTACCTAGCGGTATAAGCAAATTCCACAAGCTGTTCAATAATATCCGGTTCAGCATCTTTAAGTTCTACTTCAAAGGACTTAGATTCAAGCATGTTAGCTGACAGGAAGATGAGAAACATAAATGGCATCAGTACCACCATGAATTTAACTGAGAAACTAGAATATTCCAATTAAATATGGGAAAGGATAACAAGACAGAAATCTCTGGAAGAGAGAAAGTGAAAATTAACTCTCCACATTTGAGATATACCTTTAACTAATCTAAGAACTTACTGAAGTATGAGTGAACAAAGACATAAAAATTTATCTAGTTGTTTCCCAATTCCTAAAAGTAACAATTCACATTGTTATGAGTAAAATGCCCCTGATGTATCTGGAATAAACACCTGAGAAGAAAAACTATACAGCTATCTACTACATACAAAGTTCTTAATTCCCTAGAAATCTTCATAGGTAACCAGAACACTAAAGACAAAACTTGAGGCAGATATGTTATTTAACTTGATTAAATCAAACAGTAAGAGTGAGGTAGGTATAGTGGTGCATGCCTGTAATCCCAGCATGTAGGAGGCATGCTGTAGAAGGATCACTGAAACTTCCAGACTGATCTACATCACAAGTTCCAGGCCAGCCAGGGCTACAGTATAGCAGCATCCTGTTTCAAAACACCAAGCCTCATAAAACAATACTAAGGACTGGAACCAGGACTTGGTCCCAGGTTTTACTCAGAATACAGGGTTCTTTACACTACAGAAAGCTGTATCCACCCCCCCTTCCTATCCCCAACTCCTTTTATGTTATAAATTGTTAGATATAATACCATGAGATATAGTTGTTCCCATGTCTTTCTGCCCCAGATCAAGAAGAAAACCCTGGGCCCTTAGGGCTAATGAAAAGACTTTTTAAAACTCTTTGATTAGTCATCATCTGATCACTTTAAATCTCTTTAGTGTTCTTAAGTTCTAAACTGCTTTAAAAACTAGGAAAAATACTTTTACTTAGACTCCATTCAATTTTCATAGAAAAAATGAAGTTTTTACCTTAAAATACTTACTTGTGAACATTAAGTTAAAAAAGTGACTAGCTGCAGCAAGGACAACACGATGAGCAGGTATCTTTCTTTCTTGGACCATGAGGATCACATCGCATAATGTTCTCTAATAAAGAAAAAGTGTATTAAGAAAGCGCTCACTAGCCCTAGCTTAGCAGTATATATAACAAAGCAGGTGCTTACCAATGCTTTATATCTATTTTCTATTTAAACCTAACCTCCTCTTCCTAAGATAGCCATCAAAGCTCTAATGTGATTCAGAATGCACAGAGAGGATGAACTAAATGTCCCTTCAGCAATCTTGCCATAAATAACTTCTCTCAAACACACTTCTGACAAAAACTGGACAGCAGCCAGTCCTAAGCTGTGATTTCTGATCAAGACAACAGCAATGTCACTCTAGCCTACTGAAAGAAGGCAGGTCTACAATAAACAGCTAAAAAAAATTTTTGAGGGGGAGAAGGTAGATTACAAACTCTCAAGGGTTACCATAAATCTTGCAGATGATGTTTAAGGAAAAGTAAAATGTCCTTTCTGTCAAATAAAATATCTACAATGAAGCTAAAGATATTATGCAAAGTTAGGCTGACAGAAAAATTTGGTGCCTACAATGTATAACCACTCTACTAAGTGAGGCAAGCAACATATTCTGAGTTTTAAAAATTGTGTTATAAATCTGGATAATGGTTCAGTTGCTTAACAGATACTTTTTCTAATTTTAAGTATTTCCTTAAATAGCAAGTATTTTACTATATTACTATTTATTTTTATTTTATGTGTATGAGTGTTTGCATGCATGTATGTAAGTGTACCCATCTTGTGTGATGCCTACAGAAGCCAAGAGGGGTGTTGGGTCCTCTAGAACTGAAGTTAAGGACCATTGTTAGCTGTCATGTAGGTGCTAGGAACTGAGCCCAGGTCCCTTGGAAGAGCAGCTAGTACTCTTAACCAGAGTCACCTTTCCTGCCCCTATTAATTTTGAGTGCTTACCATTTCCTATTTATTTATTTATTTATTTATTTATTTATTTATTTGCATGCATGCACACACAGGTATGTGGGTCCAAGAATGTGTACAGAGGCCAGAGGAGGATATTAAATGTCTTGGTCTATCACTTTCAATTCTTTTTTGATCTATTTATTTTTATCTTATGTCTATCAGCATTTTGCCTATGTGCACGTGCACCCATGCCATGCAATGCCCACAGAAGCCAGAAGAGTGTATCTGTACTGACTGGTTGTTAGCCACCATGTAGGTGCTGAGAACCAAATCTGGGTCCTCTGCAAGAGCAGCTAGTGCTCTTAACTCCAGCCCTGCCATCTTATTTTTTGAGATGGGGGTCTCGCAATGAATCTGAAGCTTGCTGTTTTGGATAGGCTGACTAGCCAGGGAGCTCCCAGGACCTGCCAGTCTCTGCCCTCCAATGCTTAGGTTACAGATACATGGGGCCATGCCCAGCTTTATGTGTGTGCTGGGGATTTGAACTCAGGGTCCTCTTGCTTTCAAGGCAAGTGCTCTTAACTACTAAACCATCTCTCCAATCCTCTAAATTTTATTTTGTGAATAAAAATCCAAGTAAGATGCTAATGCTTATAAAGAAACAGGAAATGAGCCCCGTATTCCACATCAAAATATGCCAAGCAGCAAAATCAAATTATTTAGTTCTTATCAAAATCAGCTAGTTAAATTACTTGACTGGGAGCCAGAAGAGGAAAAGGTAGAAAGGCAGGAACTGGAGAGGGAAAACAGAATAGCAAGCAAATCAGTCATACTGGATTAGAGAGCTCTCACAATGAATCAATCTCTGGCTACCGATTGGAATTTCCACAAAACATAGGACTAAACAAATAAAAAGTATTTCCAGAAATAGAAAATATGTAAGTAGAATGAGCTTACTTAAGCTAGAGAAATGGAAATCTTTGTCTGCAGGTAATTTTTAGCCTAAGATGAATGTGCAGCTGGATATTATTATTCTATGTGTAGGGGTGAAGTGGAGGAATCATTTGTGTCTAAAATGGTACATTTAACAGTACTGCAATAAGCTGACAGGTTTCAACAAGAGATGGATATCAAGAATTTAGACTAGTTCATACCCAGTACTATCAACTAATGATAAAGCATACCCACAGATGACGCAAAGAGAGATCCAAGGTTAGAGAACAAGGTTAGAGCTGTAGAGTGAGAAGTATAAAACAGACAAAACCCACTAACATTCTATAATACATGCTGACTGGTTCAGCTTAAAAGGGTAAAAAAATTCCTTGTATTTCCTCTGCTCATTGCCTCCTGTATTTCTTGTGTTTATCACTCTCAGCTTCTGAATCTTTAATCTTTCATAAATAGCACAGATTTTTGCATTACTGCTTCCTCCAAACCCCATATTGCAATTTAACTGCTATTCTGATTGGTATTCAGAGGGTACTTTGGCAGCAGGAGAAAAGGACAGCAGCAGTTCTGCAGGGACGTGAAGCCTCTACCTAACAAGCAGCTGCCCAAGGACACTGCCAAGTTTCTTCAGGATCATGGTTCATATTTTTTTTTTTTGCAGAGGAATAAATTATTAGGAAACATTAAAAATGTAAAAGCTGGGTATGGTGGCTCATGCCTTTAATCCCAGAACTCAGGAGGAAGAGGCAGGTGGATCTCTGTGAGATGGAGGCCATCCTGGTCTACATAGTGAATCCCAGACCAGCTACAGCTACAGAGAGACCTTGCCACAAAAAAGGAAAAAAAAACAAAACAAAACAAAAACTAGCACCTTGCCAAAAAAAAGGAAAAAAAAAAAAAACAAAACAAAAACTAGGACGGCTAAATGATGGTAAACCCAATCAGACGAGACTCTGGATGAGGGCTACCAAAATAAACAAAATCTGTTCTAAAAAAGGGAGATAAAAGCCAGGCATGGTGGCAGTGCACATGAAAATGCGTGTGTCATGCATTCCTCTTGCAGGGAGGAACAACACTGTCAACTATGAGCTCAATGCATAGAGCAAGCTCAGAGAATAAGAGTATGAGGCTCTATTCTCTGGAGCTAGACAGGGACTCCAACGTACATGAGGAGGAGCTTTGCAAATGCTGTGATAAAGATCTTGACCCCTTTGTTAGAGAGCAGTAGTAGTCACTGAATTGCTTTAAGCAGGGAGAAAGCTGAGCTGACATAACAGTAGCATTTAAAAGCACAGTGCCTAGTATATAAAAAGCACTCAAATGATACTTATTTTTTAATTGAACCCCTCCCCAAGTCAATATATATATAATTTTAATGTGTATGAGTGTATTGCCTGCCTATACGTAAGTGCATCCATGTCATGCAATGCCCACAGAAGTCAGAAGAGGGTGTCAGATTCCCTGGAATTGGAGTTATAGATAGTGTTAGTCACCAGGTGGGTGCTGGGAACTGAACCTAGTCCTCTGCAAGAACAATCAGTGCTCTTAACTGTTGAGTCATCTCTCCAGCTCCCTAAACCTGTAAATTTTAAGGCTGCTGTGAGCAAGGTTATCAAAAGATGGGATGAAGCACTCTTGACTATAAGGGAGAAAAGGCTTGACTAGAAACTGAACCAGAATGGGCTTATGGAAGAATGAAAGGACAGCCTGACACTCAAATTCTACCAAATGCAAAACTCATACTTGAAATGGAATTAGTAGCTACTGATTGAGATAGCAGTGTTTCAAAGCTAAAGATAGCAGCAGCAGCAGCAAAAAACAAAGCAAAGCAAAACAAACCTTGGCCTTGAAACTTATGTAACTAATTATACCTTGTTACTGTTATAAGGGAAGAGTCAAATGGAAAATTCAAGGAGTTAAAACTTCTTTACTTGATCTCAACTTTTGAAAAATGTAATCCCTTATAAGTTCCTTAAAGTCTCAAATATTGTAAACCATAAAGTTCAATAAAAATGTATCTATCAATTTAAAAAAAGGAGGGGGGGGCTTTAGAAGTGTCCTCATGACTGGATTAAAGCTGTCATTCCAGGAGTGAATTAGATACTGTGGGAGTGGGTTCTTGAGGTTGAGTTTGGCCAAATTTCCTGTCTTCCCTGCATGCATCTTGCCTTACAGTCCTCCACCACAGGGATAACATGAGGACTTTTGCTGAATGCTAAACTCATGAACTTAAATTTATCAGCATCCAGACCATGAAGCAAATAAAACTTCTACTGTTTGTAAATTACATAGTTTGTGGTACTGTTTTGCCACAGCAAACAGACTAAAACAATGACTTAGTTGAAGCTCCCCTAAGATTATTTTTAGTAGGGCTTAGTTTATTCTTCCATATTTATTACATTTCATCTGATGCATATCACCTTGCTGTATTATATATCATGCTTCCTTGCTGTCATCTTTAGCTGCAAAGTGCCAACTGCCATTTGGATCACTTTTCCTTAGTTTTCCTTCCTGAGGAACTTCCTTACATATCTGTGAAATACTTAACTGAATCTAGAAAGATATTACTCAAATATTATTTTAGAAATGCAAGGAGTTCTAGAACAAGTATTCTACTAATGAAAGATTAAAAGACAAAAGCTTTATGTATAAAAAAACTTCAAATGGTACCAAAAAAACATGTAATAAAATATAAAACTTATTTCCTTACACTAATAAATAAAACGTGCCTGCATATTAAGTCCATTCATCAGAAAACAACAGCAAATATTGTACATAACAGTGAAAGAAGTTATGCATTTGCACTCCAGTTTGAGACAAGGTATACATATCATTGTTACCAGTATTATTAAACGTGTTCTGGAAATTTTAAACAAATCAGTCAGAAAGACAATCAACTTCTACTTGTAGAACTTACATGAAGCCAGTTAACATGGACAGACACAAATATGATAAATATGAAAGGGCAATTCACTAACTTATTTGCAAGAAAGAAACAAATGGAAAAAAAAACTCAAGTCCAAGTAACAACAAAATAATATTAAGAAATAAAGCAAAAAAACCAACCCCTCCCCCAAACCCCCAAAACAACCCCTCCCCCCAAAACAAAACAACAAAACAACAACAACAACAACAAAAGAAATAAAGCTAAAGAGGCTGGAGAGATGGTTTAGTTGTTAAGACCACTGGCTATTCTTGCAGAGGAATTGGGTTCAGTTC